CAAACAGAAAGAGAATTTGAACAAAATAAACACTGTGGAGTACTGGATCCTGAAACAAAGAAACCTTGCACAAGATCGCTCACCTGCAAGGTATTTTTCTTAGAAGATAAAATATCAGATGCTTTGTTATAGTTTAAATCCTACCACAGTAGTTTGAGAGGTCATACCTGCTCCTGTCTTACAGACAATGGGTATGGTATTCAGACGCTGTCTTCAGGTAATTCTTTTGAGTAATTCTGTTTCTTTGAATCAGAGCATCTGCATTATTCCACTGATACTTCTAAAAAGATTTTTTTTTTTCTTGTCATTTTGTTATGCAAAAAGCATTAACGTTTCATGTAGAAGCACAAGTGTTATTTTATATGCTCCTTTTTGGTTCATGTGTGCAACAGTATAGTCAATTTTTAGCAAAAAAGTAACATGATTTTTGTATAATATATTACTTGGAGGCTGCCTTTGTGATAGTAACAAGCCTCATGTCAAAAAGTAGCAGCAATGTAAGACATTTATAATGAAAGTTTGTATGTGTATGTGCTGCTTGTCAGTAGAGATGATTGGTTAAATTTGCTTTAAACTGTATGCACATTTTTCAATCCAGTGAAATCAATTTTTCATTGTAAGTTAAGAGCTACAATGATGTTACTTCTTAATATTTTAAAATTATTGGAATTATATTTTGTTTTGGAAAAGGTAAGTCAATATATTCTATTACATGAAAATTGTTGCAAGAAGTAATCTTAGCCTTGATGTTGGCATTTCTTAAGAATTACTTCATAAATTATCAAAGATAACGTGGAATAACGGCTTTATTTCCATAACTGTGGCTAAAGTTGTTTGAAGTAGATTTTATCTTTTAGAGTTGTGGTGTATCGGAAGTATAGAGGACTCATAAACAATGTCATGCACACACAAATGCTTTTTAACCACCCTATTTTTAGACTCATTCACTTAATCATCGACGAGCAGTTCCAGGCCGTAAAAAACAGTTTGACATCCTTCTAGCTGAACACAAAGCTCGATCCAGGGAAAAAGAAGTTGCAAAAGACAAAGAGCATCCACCATCTGCAAGGGAAAGCTATCAGAGCCAGCCCACACCAGCACAAGACTCTCTGTCAGGATCTTCAGCAACCTCTGGGCAAGAATCTAAAGTAACATCTCCTGCAAAATCTAGACCACCAAATTCTGTACTTCCAAGGTAAGCAGTTCTCCAGTGTAGAATGTTGCATTCTGAAGGTGCTGTAAGAAGTGTCATAGTCTTTCGTACAGCTTTTTTTGTAAGGATTTGATATTTCTTTAGGCTACTGCATGATAAAACATACTAATAGAACAGTTTCTCTTGGCAGTAGAAGAGTGTGTTTATATTAACCTAAATCTGTCCATGGTAGCTGTGGTCTGATTGGGAATGGGGTGAGGAGTCGTGTCCACCCTCTGATCGGAATCTCAGACTGACTGCATTTTTTTACTAAAATGGTCAGTAATAGTTAGGAAAGTTTACATTTGAGTCATTCTGACACTTTTAGGAAGAAAAGTCTATTCACATGAATCAGGGTAGGTACTTGTGGTGAAATTCTGTACATTTATGTAGAATTTTTCTCTGCAAATACTTCACCAATTACATCAATGGAATGCCTTGTAAAAAAAAAAAAAAGGTGTAATTTACTGTAATGACAATGTAAGAAGCTAGTTCCTAAAACTATTGATTTTAAACTGTTCATAGCATGTCTCTCCTCATTTTGAAGATTTTTCTTGTAAAGGACAAAAGCTGTCTTCAGTCAGGCAATGCAAACTTCTAAAGACATCCCTTTAGAAAAACTAGTATGATGTATTGGATCTACAGAATTCTACTTATCTTCTGGTAAACTCTCCATATGTTTTGTTTTGCTGCCTGGGGGTTTTTTTTGGTACTAGTTTTGGCTGGAGTAGATGGAACTAAATTAGCTGACTGTTAATTTTTTTTCCCACATTTCTTTTTTTTGCAGAAGCCTTGGTCAGGATTGAGTGCCCGTTTTGGGGCTTTTGTACTAAGATAGCCCCTATTAGAAAGAGATCTGTTGTATTTGCTATCTCAAGTCTTACAGAGACGGCCATTTCTAATGTTTTTTGTGTGTTCATCAAGCTGTAATGAAATTTTATTCGTACAGCGACAGAGGTGGGTCTTACAGGGTTTGAGTGAAAGGACAGTGAAAGAATACCCATAAATAAATGAAGTGGTGAAAAGTCTGCATAATTCTTGTGAAAGGAGTGACCTTACACAGTCCTTACATAGAGAGGAGCACGGAGGTACAGGCAGACATTGTTTTTAATAGGTGTTACAGTCAAAGAAACGAAACTGGAATGCGATTCAGTGAGAGTCAGCTGAAGACATTGCAAAGGCAGTGGTACATGAGGAGGAGGCTTTTAGTCATATGTTGTGTTTGTACAATCTGCGCTTCTGTTTCTGCTGCAGTGCCTCTGTTCTGTCGTCCTGTCTGTTTTTGCAAGCAGCTGTGCCAGAGGAAAGCCTTGCTACCATTCTGCTGGGAGCCAGCAGCTCTGCTGCTGGAAGAGTTTATGGGAGTGCTCCCTGCTCTGCTGAGGCAGAGCTTGCTTGGTCAATTTTTCCTGCGGGCTAAGGGGCACTCGCACAATATACCCCTTCCAACAGCAACTGCAGCAGTTATGTCTAGCTGATGGACATTGTTGAGCAATCCCTGTTTGGTTCAGAAGAGGGCACCTGTCCACAGTCTCAGTGACCACTGTGTGCTGATAGCATAAATTCATGAGGCTGAAGATCATCTCAATGTGGACACCTCTTCCAACCTCAGAGGTCCACATGTGTACTTGGTTGTACAGACCGTAGCTGAGAATCCTTTTCACCCTCACTTCTAATGTGATTTGTTTCCAAGCTACTTTTGAAAGGCAAGGCACCATTGTGCCCTGTGGCGCAAAGGCATTCCCACTTTGGTTTACTGGATTTTAGACAAAGGTAAAGAAAACCCACATGCTGCAGGAGGGCCTGCCAGTTACTTCGCTTACTAACTTAGCTGTAGAGGGTGTCAGCTAAACATTCTTACTGTATCTAGTACACTAATTTCAGTGGTATTTGGTATGAAATGAAATTTCATAACTGGACCCTTGGGATCAATCAAGTAGCAGAGTAATGGTGCAGTGTAAGATTTTACACATCTGATTTTTATTTGCATTTTTAATACACTTTGCCTCTCTCAAGATCTTAAACTCAACCTCCTGGCAAATTTAAAATCTCAGGCAATACAAAGGTGTTTCTGCTAATGTTACCTTGATGTTAACTCATGATATATTTCTGAAAAGACCAGATGTCAGCTATCCTGTATCTTACTGTCCTTCTTTATATGATCATTTCTGCTACAATTTACTTTGATGCTTGACTCCGGCAGGTAGGTTTGCAGAGCCTTTGAACGCTGATTATTTAAATGTATATTCTCCTTCTAGACCGTCATCTGCAAATAGCATAAACAGCAACAGTTCTTCAAACCACAGTGCGTACGTACCAGAACTGCCACTGCCTTCCATGGGAGGAGATTTAACGAGCAGATTGTCCAGTGATGAAGGAGAAGCGGATGGAGCTGAAGAATCTGAGAAACTAGACTGTCACTTTTCTGGACACCATCCCAGACCTCTTGGGGTATGTGTCTGTCTCTGGCATGTCTTGCTGTTATTCTTACGTAATAGGAGAGGGGAGGAAAAAAAAAGTAATTTAGTAAAAATGTAAGGAATGAGGATCTTACATTCTGAAAACTGTATTCTAAAAAGAACAGATACATTTGACAGAAAATGGTATGGATGGGATAACGTAGGAGAAGACTGGTCAGTGCACGTGACAAACATTGCTAGGTTGCAGGACAGGATGAGCAGCAGAAAATCAGAGGTTCTAGTTTCAGATTTTTCTCTCAGTAGACTGCAAGTCGGGTGTAATTCTGCTAAAATGAGAAAAGTTGTATTGTTTTAAATGTGGTATGAACAGATAATCTTTGTTGTCTTAGTTCTTACGAAACTGTACCTTGTAATCGCTTATAGTTCTGAAAACCATATGGCAGCAAAGGGCTATTACAGAGCTTCGCTGATTTTTGTCTGGTTTGAAGCAGTAATTAAATATCATTTATGTCAGTGCACATGGACTTAGAAGCTATTGCTTCATTCATCTAAAAATGGGAAGTCTAGAGCATGGTATTGCCCATCTGCTCTGGCGGTGGCTTAAGTATGTCCTTCTCTGACAGTTGTTTTCGTCTTTCTCCCATGTCAGTGAGAAATTTCATTGTAAGTGGTAAGAGCTGCCTTGTGGCATTATCTCTGCAGTGTGAATTTGTTTACACAGTACAAAACAAGAAGCAGTGAGAGAACTTTTGGACTTCTAAGCAGTTGGTTCTCATCAAAATTGAGCCAAAGAGTAAAATTAATGAAGACTTCACTTAGGTGTTTTCCATATGGTATGCATAATAAAACGAACACTGCAATAACTGTAGCATTGTCTATATTCCCTAGAGCAAAGGAGAGCTTTTTACTGTCAGACACCAGGTAAAAGTGTGAGTTGAACATAAAATGACTGTCAGATGAAATCCTGTATTTGGTTCTTACACAGAAAATAAGAATTATTATAGTCCATATAGTGCTATGATACACAGTAACCTCCTGCTTCCTTGGTACTCTTGTATTCTACTTCATTTTTGCTGGCTGCTTCTTTGTGAATTAAAAACTGAAGTCTCACTGCATGCGCGTCCACACAATTTAAAAAATAAGTGCAGCCAGTTCTCATACAGGCATCTTCAGTGAGGCATGGCTGTCAGTAGCCGTTTTGGTTTAGGATCCTCATTCTGTTTCAAGGCAGATCCCAGTGACTCATCTGTTCTTTGAAATCTTAACATCTCTCAACTGAAGCAGTTACTGATAGCGCAACTGTTCTTAGTCCATATCGACGTGAAGTCAGAAAGGATGGTGTAAATTGCCTTTGGCACAGTTCGTGCTAACTTGCTACATTTCATACTGAGGTGGACTGTTCTCCTTACACAGTCCCTCTTCCAGCTAGGTGGTAGTAATTGATGGGGAAAAGGCAGTAGCTTCTTAAACTACCTCTTAGTGGTAACTCATCTGCATCACTGGGGGGTGAGGCCAGTTTATCAACTTAGGTGGTGGTTTTAATTAACTTGTTAGAGCCACCACTCGCTGTCCATTAAGCTGAAAAGTACTTTAAATGGATGCTTTTCTACTGCATCAGTAGCTTCTACTCTCAGCCAGAATTTGTGTGGCTTGGTCCCTGCATGATGGAGAGTTGTCTTGTTTTCTGAAGATGATTTATAACAGGTTTCTCTCCCACAAATAGGTGTTGCGGCAGTTCTCTACCTAACGTGAGATCAGTAAGACTGAACTGAAGAAAGGGTAGATTCCTGATCATACCATTTCAGTGTAGTAGGACTTTTCAGGAAGTTCTCCAGAGGAAGCGGTGCAAATATTCCCAAGCTCCGCAGATTTCTCAAAATATTTACTACTCCTCTAGGTGATTTTCATACACTGTGAAGAGTGTATCCGATGCTCTGTTGTAGCACAGGTGCTATGGACGATAATTTATTTTTTTACTTAAACTGATTGTTTTTACTGTCACTGGTTTGTTTGTTTATTAAATAGATACTAGGGATGCTCCCATTGCATCTTTTTCCTCTTCGGTTTTATTCCTGTTACACAATTAAAAGATTTAATGTGCACAGAAGGGTGTAACTGTCATTCTGAGGCAGTAAGAGTATTATTAGCCAGAATGTCTTCCTTAGCAGTACCTCAACACTTATATTCTTTCCCCATCACACATAGGTACCTGATAGTAAACTGACTTGTTAGTGAAGTATGAAGTACACTTTTCATGAAGCTGAAACATTATGCACATATTTCATGTATCATACAAAAAGTATTTATGCTGCAGATAGTGAAAAACACTTTTTTAAGGTCTTAGATGCATGATACAAACTACAAAGGTGTTCCTTGATCTATAAATTGTAATTATTTTATAATGTAGAAATATTTTTTCATAAATAACATGTAAATATGGTTTCTTTCAGTTTTGTTCATATGGCAGTCGCTTAATGGGAAGAGGGTACTATGTCTTTGACAGAAGATGGGACCATTTTCGATTCGCACTAAACTCCATGGTAGAAAAACACTTGAACTCTCAGATGTGGAAGTAAGTGGGACTTTTACATGTGGTGGGTAGTTTAACATTTTTAATTCTGTAAAACTTCTAAATTAAACACTCCATGGGACATGATTGTAAAATTACCTCTGTATTAAGGCATAGTGGTGATATGAGTACAATTTTCGCTTTTCTGTTAAGGAATATGCAGCACAACAGAATCTCCTATTCTGATGTAAATTTCTGCCAGATTTAGGACTTTTTTTAGTCCCTCTGTATCTGGGGAGGAATAATTCAGCAGTTCTGTTAACATTACTTAAAAGTATTAAAACTCAGTGTTTTCTGGGTTGGAGATACGTTTTGATATATCGTTTTATAACACACAGGTTAGATTTTGCTTAGATTTTTATACCTGTATCATGCACCCATATCACCCATTCAGACTTTGGTCTGTAAGATAAGGAACTCTGTATGCAGTTTTTTAGTCCATGGTTTCCGTACTGGCTTTGGGGTCTTAAAATTCTGATTATTACTCACTATTGAAGCACCTCTATATCACTTATGCAGGTTCCAAGCACTATAGGCTTTGGCTACACAGATACATTAAAATAGACTGCACTTCTAAAAAATATGCTAATTCTTTTAAAAAAATAAGTATTTGAAAAGCTCACAGCATCTGCAAATAGGATTGATTTTCTGGGGGTATTCTGCTACAGAATATACATTCTTCTTCCAATGTAATGACACTAAAGTGCAGTGTTTCATGTCACTGTTTATTATCAGGACTGTGTTATATTCATTGGATGCCAGCCATTAGATAAACAAGGTTTGATTTTTATTTAAATACATTTTTGAAACACTAAAGCTTGGCTTGTCTGACTAACCTGGTAACTTGATGGTAACAGTGCTACTGTGCTGGGAGACATAGTTTGGAAATGGTTGGGTTTGCCGCAAAAGGGCCAGTTTCATGTCTGTTTAGAGACAGATCACGCTTGATCTGCAAAGGGTTCCTCTCTTCTACTTCGTAAATTTGGCTGTTAAGTAGTGTCTGTTGCCTTCCACAAATAAAACTCATTTGGTTCCCTGAAATAGGAAGATTAAAACTTGTTATCTATTGGCTTACTTTGCCAGGAGAAAAGATACTCGGGCATCTGAGAAAATGTGTCACTAGTACCACTACTATCATGAAAAACAAAAATAACCTCTATAGTAGTCATACCATACAAGAAATAAACAGGCCTCATCCTGCTCCCACTAAATCCAATTGTAAATGTTTTCCCAAATTCTAGCTGTTTATGTAATCTCTAATATTTTAATGAATTCCATCCGTACTTACTTGTCTGTATAACACAGGAAGCTCACAGTGCTTAACCCTTATTGTATTCCTCTATTGTCCTCAACCCTCCTCTGGACTGATTTTTTCCTGTCTTCCCCAAGCAGGGGTATGTGTAAAGCTGTTATTTTAAAACCAGTGCTAGTGCAGCTCTGTAGCTGTGGTTCATCCAGCTGAGACAAAGGGTAAAGGGATGCAAGGCCGTATTTTGAGAACAATATTTACATTTACAAGGTACTTTTTATCCCTAGTTCTCAAAGTACTTTACAAAGGTGGGTAAGAATTATTTGCCCTTCTTTAAAAATAAACTTAGGAATGGATCTGATAAGCAGCTTTGTTCCTGTAGCAAGTTACAGGCAGTAGGACTTCCTCCCTTCTGGCTGCATGGACGGTATATAATCCCTTATGTAATTGTGCCATAAACAGTGTTCTGCCTGACAGTCTCCATAGGAAGAATACCAGGAGAGGACGCTTGTAATTAGGATTTGATTTATGATAAAACAACACACCCAATGCTGCTCTTTTATCATACTTTTTTGAGGGCAAGAGTAAGCCTTTAAAAAATAAAAAGGTGTCAGTAGTGAGGATAACAAGGGCAGAGTTATGGTGAGGTACAGCTTTTTAACAAAGAGAAACAGGATTAAACTGTGAATTAAATTTTGGTCTAAATAATGATAAAAGCTGACGTGATAATTTTCCAAGAGACATTATGGAAGTCTGGTTCTTCGTTAACACTGGACTAGATAAAATAATAGAAGAGGGTGGCTGAATAGAAAGGAAGTTGAATACATTCTACTAATTTCACAGGTAATATCATTAGATGTTATTCTCAGAATAGTAGTCAACTAGTTATGAAGTTTACCAAGCATTGTCTAATACTCTGTCAATTTTTCAGTATCAGTGAAATTATTCAATAGCTTACCTAGTTAATCCTGTCTAACCAGCTCTCAAATGAGCTGTTGGGAATAGCACTGCATTGGGAAAGGGATGAGCTTTCCTCTTTAAGCTCAGTGATTAAGGGCTTCCCAAACCCCCAGACTGGCTCATTTACTACTCTCATCAAATCTAACCTCTGAGTTTAGGTTGATACTGAAACTGTTCCACAACTTGAACTTTCAAGCAAAACATATGCAATGAGTGAAACATGGTGACTAGAATGTTTATAGATCCCACCATCAGGCATTTGATTTCAATTTTTTAATTGTTTGGTAAAATAGGAGAGGAAAAAAGGAAATTAAATTTGTAATAAAGTGATAAAATTGTAACACTGTGCACTTCGTTGCTACATGGGGCACTTGTGCTGAAGTGGAGCTCAGTTTTGGTTTAACTGAGTTACACAGTTTAGGGCTCATGTGCAGTGACAGAATTTTATAGGGAAAATAATGCTGCATAGTTCTTCACCTCGTCATCTTCTGTTAGGGCTCCGCTGCCTTCAGAGATTTACTGTGCCTCATTTCAAAATTAATTTTTAGGAAAATATACTTCATGACCCAGCTTTCCCGAATCCCTACAATATTAAAACACACATGGTTTGGGGTTTTGCTGTTTGTACTAAATCCCAAAGAACCTCATAATGGAACTGCAAGTTTAAAAAGAGGGAAAAAAATCAGAAGTAAAAGCATTTTTAAGCTGTTGTACGATGCAGGGCTGATTTTGAACTGTGAATATTAAAATAGAAGTGATTGGTAGAATAGGAGTCAAAATTAGAATGAACTAAGTTTGCCTTTTTTATGAGTTGGTCCTTCCCAGAAGTCATATCCTATCTGCATTGTTAGGATGGAATTTTTTATGTATCTAAAACTTTTTTTTTTCCCCCCTTTCTCGATTTAGGAAAATTCCTCCTGCGGCAGATAGTCCCATGCCTTCTCCAGCAGCACATGTCTCCACTCCTTTTCCAGCATCAGTCTTGCAGCCTTTCAGCAACCCCAGTGCAGTGTATATTCCTTCAACACCTATCAGTTCAAGAATCACTTCTTCTTCTTACATAATGACATCAGCCATGTTATCGAATGCAGCCTTTGTGACAACATCAGATACAAATTCCATTATGTCACACACTACAGCTTTTCCTCATATGGCTGCAAGCCCAAGTATCATGGACTCAACTTTTAAGGCGCCATCAGCTGTGTCACCAGTGCCAGCAGTCATCCCTTCCCCATCCCACAAGCCATCCAAAACAAAAACCAGCAAATCCTCAAAAGTGAAAGACCTGTCATCTCGGAGTGATGAGTCTTCAAGTAACAAAAAGAAAAAGCCGCAGTCGTCGTCATCGTCGTCATCATCATCCTCATTATCTTTGCAGACATCTTCCTCGTCTTCATTTTCAGGGTCCCACAAAAAGAACTGTGTCCTGAACCCCAGTTCAACTTTGAACTCCTATCAGGCTACATCCTCCTATAACAGTATGTCTGTGCACAATACAAATAACGGAACAAGCCCACTCAGTGCCAAATCGGAGCCCTCAGGACGGACTTCATTGTCAAGTAGTTCAACAGACTCAGTGAAACACATGAGCATGGTAGTAAGCAGTATTGACTCTTCTAATCTGTCTGTATCTTCTCTTGTGCACCACTCAGGGGACCACTCCCTGGGAGCACATAATGCAGTGTCTTCTCTACCCCTTTCTTTCGACAAATCAGAAGGAAAAAAACGTAAAAACTCTAGTTCTAGTAGCAAAGCCTGTAAAATCACTAAAATGCCTGGTATGAATAGTGTTCATAGAAAAAGCACTGCCAACCTTATTTCTGCGGTGCCAGATCCTACAAGCAGCTCCATCTCTCGGCAGGTAAGGGACTCTTCCAGTTTTTTTTTTGCAGGTCATGATTGACTTACTTGAAATATTTCATGCGTTATGAAAATACTGTATTTGCTTCAGGTTGTTTTTCATCACACAACTTACTTTCTAGGTTAATACAGAAACATATTTGTATTTGTTTTGTACCAATCATAGAAAGATGCTTTGAGAGTTAAAAATATATATATACTTTTAAAAAATATTTTATGAGGTTTTTTTATTCAGTTAATAAAAAAAAGCCATTTGTATCTTTGAAAGTAAAATTGAATCTCCAGAATGGATACATAATTTTTAGAAATTAATTTCGGATCTTAATTCTCATCTCTGAAATAAATTGCGTCATTAAAACAGGAAGATAAGAGTCAGCATTTCTGTTTGTTTCTTTTCTCAAACTTGTTGCTGATTCATCTTTTAATGCTATGAAAGTCTCCTCATTTCTCTTATTTAAAATGCTTGCATCTTTCCCTGCGGGGAGAATCTAGGATGCCTGACCTCAGATGCTGTTTCCTGTTGGAAACTGGAAAAATTAAGAAATTAAGATCTTAACCAGATGTCCTTTAGTGCACATGTGCTTCTCTTTTTTAGTGTGCATGTGTTCAGAATATTGAAGTCAGTGCAACAGATAAGGTTACACACTCTTACTTCATCGTCAGTAGCAACAGAGCTTTGACTTCTCTTTCAGTGATGCTGTATCAGGACAGAAATATATGTGAAGTAAAATTTGGTGGAAAAACTGCCAATACAATCTTCAGAATGATCTGTTGTTTCATTCTGCTACTGTGTCCAGTGCTGTGCAGTGCACAGGAAAAAAAAAGCTTGGCCCTGGCCTCTGGAAGATGAAACCATAGAAAATAGACTACCTCAGAAAATCTAGAGAAGGTAGCTTAGGAGAATTTTTTGTTTGTTTCTGAACTGCTGTGAAACTCTCATTTCCTAAGGATATTGCACATAAAATGGAATTTGGAAATGAGGAGGGTAAGATCACGGGCAAGGCAATCCATAGGTAATAGCTGACAGAAATGGGAGTGGAAGAAGGGAATAAACAAATTCTAAAACTGTTGTAGCAGGCAGAATGAAGGTCTCAAAGAATGGCTTAGCAGGTGTATTTTCTCTTCCCTACTCCCAGCAGAGGTGCAACTGAGATTACTTGTTTGGCTTTTAAAAACGGGTAGTGGCATTGTCTTTCTGCCTTAAGCCTTTTAAATGTGTCCTGCAATCAGAACTAATCTTTAAGTCACTGAAGTCAGTGGAGGATGCTGTAAATTCTTCATTCTGTCACATGCCTGATTTTTTTAAATACGTTTGTGCCCCAAAAGATTTAAATTGCCCTGAGATATACTGTCTCACGTGGGAGGAAAAAGTAAGTACAAACTGTTATTACGGTACAAACCTTGGTAGTAGGAAATGGATTGTATCCTCTTTTCACAGTACATAGACTGTACCTGCAGCTAGCGCAGTCTGAGGAAGTCTTACACGCAGGAGGGTCTGAGTTCAAATTCTGACTCCCCTCGTGATTAAATCTGTTCCTGTGGGACATTCCTGTTCCAGTTTGTGATGTATTTCAGCACACTGCACAGTAATGGAAGTAAATAAACCCTAAAGAATCAAATTAGAGGGCTTTTCTGAATATTTGTACATATGTGAGTAATACTAATAATTTTTCCATTAAGTAAAAGGTGAAATATATGTAATGAGTGTAATAATACACAGATTTTTAGACATAATGTTTTTATATACATGTACAGGTGCATACACGTACATATGTATACATGCATATCTGTGTGTGTATATATGTAAAAGTTGATCACACTTTCCTCTTACATTGCTGGTCTTTGGAGCTACACTAGTAATCAAAAAGAGGAGGTGAAGTGGAGTTGATTGTATCTCAGATGTCCGGCTGGCAGCTAATCGTCTTTGTGACAATGATACTGAATTGTATGAGATAACGAAATAGGCATTTCCTACTGTTTATTTGTGCTATAAATAAATGAAATTTGTACCCACTTAAGCATATGGGTCAAATAATATTACGTACTCTACATGTGAATATTAAAACTCTGGAGAATACAACACTTTAAATCACTTTTAAGCTCTGCTGTTTTGACTTGCTGTGTTCTAGACATGCAATCACAGTAAAAATACCATCCAAAAAAAAATCAGTATTACGTAAAATCTTGCTCCTGTTCCTTGATGTAACTGGGCAAACTAAATTAAGAGAATTAAGAACACAAAAAAGCTCAAGTGACTGGTGGCAGGCTCAGGTTGGGGTTTTTTTCTGGCCTGGGTAGATAGCAACTGAAAGTGTTAACTATTGGGTTTTGAGCTATACTTTATTCTTAAAAGAAAAAAAAGGGACTTAAGTCCTGGCCTCACCCAAATCCTTGTGAAATGGTGTTCCCGTCATTAAGGACTCAGCAGAGCTGGGAAAGTTTCTTCTTTCTTCTTTTCATGGAGTGCTGCAACTGCTGGGTCAGCTGGAATTGCCCGTCTGACCCGGGGCGCTGCGCTCCCAGCTCTGGGCGCAGAGCGGGTGGGAGAGCGGCTCGGGGCCGAGCGCCGTGCTGCCGGATGGGCTGCTCCCGGCTTTGCCGTGCGCCGGGAGCCAGGCTGGGGGCCCTGGATGCACAGAACAAACGAAGCCTAAAGAGGCATAATACTCCCTCTCACCGTGCTGGGATCTCAGCGAGCCCATTTCTAGGTGGCCATTTTTCCATTTAAAAGATGGAGACGTATTTTATCGTGAAAGGACTTTATGAGTATTATAACGGTGGATGTAGAGGAGAAAGGTTTGTTATGATGTTCTGAACGCATAGGAAAGATTTTACAAGACGGTTGTATCTTTAGTCAAGATTTGTATATTGAAGAAAAGCTTGATATGGCACATTACTACCTCGAGAAGAACAGCTGTGGCCAAACAAGGCAAAGGGAACAGGGTAGGCAGAGGCCTGCCCTTTTAATCTTTGTGCACCATGGGAGCTGCCTTCAGACTTGGCTGTAAATAAAAACTTCAAACATGTCTGCTGGATAGAATGTGACTAGAGAACACTGTTTTAAACAGTCGCTGTGAGAAAGGGCAGGTAGGGAGAGGGAGACAAAGGCTACCTTTCACTATATACATGAAAGGGCAAAGTAACAAATGATGTTGCAGAAGGGAAAGGAGAAAACGATGATGTTGGTGAAAACCCTGCCAGCCAATGCCACAGTCCCATCTATTCGGTAAGGAACTTGCAACTGCATTTCTCACTGTTGAGAAGACAGGTCCTTGCTACCTCTCCATCAAATGATTAAAGTTGGCGTTATTTTAAGTCCATTGACCTTGCAAATGACTATTCAAAATCCAGTCATCTGCCATCTGCAGGCAGGTGGCCATGGTTAATTTTTATCGGCCTCGTAACCCCTGAGGAGCTGCCCCTCTGACTCAACAGCTGCCCCCCCTTTGTATCGCAACAGAAATACCTGCGCTGTGTTTATGGGTGGCTGTAGAAACAGCGGAGACAGACTGCTCTCGCAGAGCGCTGTTATCTCTCAAGCACTGAAATACGCAGATTGAACGCTGCAATATTTTAACTAAGTACTTCTAAAATGTTTGTATGCGTACTATCGACTGGCATTCATTCCCAAGGAAAATCTATGATGCGGTAAATTGATACAATTGCAAATTGAAACCTCTGGAGTTTGATTCCTCTGGTTAATCTTTGCTTAATGAGTAATAATAAACAAAGACGCTATATGGAAGAAAATGGAATAACTTAGGGCATGCTACGGTTATCGGCCGCTTGCTTTAAACTTCCCAAGAGTGGGGAAGGTTTGCTGGGGAGGAGGCTGTGACCTTGGGCCCTCCATCATTGCTGATGAGCTTCACCAAGTGACTCCAGGAACTACAGAAACTAGGATTTCGGTCTGGGTTTTACTAGTATTTCTGGGGTCTGAGGTGGGGGGTTACAATCTGTATTCCCCCGTTAACTGTTTCTTGTGTTGTTTCTGACCTGTAATAGTATTTATGTGCCTTTTAAGAGTTTATTTAAAGTATACAGGCTCTGAGAGATATTTATGATTCTATCTGAAAAAGTGTATCTTTTCCAATAGTGAAATACTTGTGTTCCAAATGCAAAGCAATTAGTGCCACTTTACCCAGGAAAGGGAAGGCCATTACTAGCATCTGCGTTCAGCTGACAAATATGCCTCTCACTACTGCTCAATTAATGTCTTTCAGATTGGAAAAAATAGCAGTGTAGCTTTGTCACAATCCAGTCCTTCGAGTACATCAAACCCCGTACACAACAGACAAGTAAGTTGCTTTAAAAAAAAGTGTACTTAAGTAGTCTCTAAGCAGTTTTGAAATATTTTCTACTGTATAACCTTAAAATACAATTTCCTTATGAATACAGTTCTTTATAGAAGCCGTCTTTCATTGAACTAATATTAGATTTTTCCTCTCGCTTAATTTTTTCCCAGCTCTTTTTCCCTCTGAGATTTATGAATAACAAGTTTTCTGCTTGTTTTCACCACCTGTGATATGCCCCAGGTTGCTTTACGTGCTGCTCAGCGGCTGTTGCTTTGGTGATACAAACTCGGCAGCAGCAGAAACTGCGCAGGATCCAGCCACGCTGATGTGGTTTTTCTGCCCAACCTCCCCTGCTGAGCGAGATGGCGCAGCAGAGTCCCCAGGCTGGCATGGAAGGGGCAGTGTTTAAAAATAGGCTGAAGTGAAAGCAGCGAAGGGAGAACAGAAGCAGGGCAGAGCAGACAGGGCACTTCACTGTTCAGAGAAACTAATCTGAAAGCGTAGCTAAGCTAAGCAGAATCTGAATTCTTCTTAGATGGTGAGAAATCCTTAGCGTTCCCACCATGCCTGTTTATCACACAGACTGCTAGTCAGATAATTATATTAAATTCTGTAACTCTGCTTTTTTGTGAGGACAGGTTCTTGACCTGCAATCCAACCCTCATCTGTCTGGAGGACTGACTAGTTTATTTTTTTAATATGGTGACTCTCCAAGTTGAGTCAAGAATTCATTATCAAGATCCTTGGTATGAAAAGGTTTCCCACCTCAGCAAGGTGCAGTCACAAGTAAACAAAAATGCCAGAGGATTTCTCTGTGCAACTGTGTTCTGTACAACACGCAAGAAAATAAGTAATTTAGAATTCTGTTACATATTCTGGCTAAATTATACAGCAGCAGTTATTCCAAATGGCTGTGCTGCTTAGATTCTGCTGTGTAGAGACAACAAAAGAATAGTAATGATCGTAGTAATGATAACCCACAACTGTATCTCCGTTAAAAGTACTCTGAATCACTCACATCTTGAGGTGAACTGCCAAAGAGTAGATTTTATTTTTTTTTCGGTGCTGAATGCAAAGCAGCATACACATGGACGAACCACTCTGGAGGAAAAAAAGTGGAAAGTTTCTTCGTGCTCCTAAGAACCGGCATTTTGCTGCGTGACGCCCTGTCATCCAGCTGCCAGTAACAAACATGGGATAAAGCTGTTCTGAAGGGCAAAACTGTTTTTGCGTTAACCTCCTGCTCCTGCGTTAGCATAAAATACACACGCTACCTGAGGAGCAGAGCTCGTCGGGATCTGCTGCCTAGATCCCCTGGGGAAAACCTAACAGTACAAAACATTAATGTTGTGGCAGCCTTATGTAAACAGAGGCTATTGCCGAGCTTTTCAGCTGCCTGTCTCCGTAACTTCATCAGAAATAGAAATGCTTGCTTGTTATAAGCCCCACAAACTCTTTGCTGTTAAAAATACGGTTTTGTCAGTTTGGTAGTTGACTATGGAGCTCAGAATACAAGTACAAAAGAAAATCAAGATTTATTGAGTTCTGTTAAACTTTTTTTTTTTTTTTAACTCTGACACAGGATTTTAGTGTTTGGAACCATGAATAATGATTATCTATCTAATGAACGCTTGTCACTGTCAAAATAAATCTGAGCTGCTTTGTTGACAGCTTTCATCTCCAATCTAGCAACTGTGAATAGTCTCTAAATAAAATTTTAGTCTTAAACTGTGCTATAATACTTCTTTATGAAGGTGTTATTAATTAGGTCTCATTAAGTGGATCTGCAAGTATCTGCTGTGGCAGTAAAGATACTACTGGGGGAACCTGGGCTCTCTTGTTTTTAATGTTAGAGTTGTTATAACCACAACAACTAGGGAGTCCAAGTGAAGCAAGGTCTGTAGGTAGAGACAATCTCTGCTACACACTGGGTTTAACAGTTGGAAAAAGCAGGCAAGCTTTCACAAATACAGGTCAGAACAAGAGGCTTTCAGCCGTGCAGTTTGAAGAAGAATTGCAGCCGTCAAGCTAAGTGTGAGAATAGAGCGGCTACTCTGGACTTTTTCGGCTGTCCTGCCCGGCCAGGCGACCTGCCGGGGTTGTCTGCTGGGGCAGTGGGAGGGCGAGGAGAGAGAAGACTCTTGTTTCTCAAGAGAAGGGAGAGGAGTCCTTAACTCAGCACGGGCTTGGGTGACTGGGTGAGAAGGAGGCATTTGGGACGTTGCGGTCTCGCTGAGCCCAGGATGGCCTGCGTGCAGTCCCGCGGGCAGGCTCGCTTCCCCGCTCGCCTCCCGAGGGTCTCCAGGCGGAGCTGAGAGGGCATGTGGCAGCGCTGCGGCAGTCACCTGCTACCAATAATCGGGTGCTTCCCATTACCGAGGTGTGAGATAAAGGTGCCCTGTGGTTGTTTTTGTTTCACACAAGTGGTGTCTTTTGGCCATTTGCTACGTCTGTTGAAGTACGCTGTACTTTTGGGTACGCCTGTGGGGGACCGGTGGCTGTGGGGATAGCTGCTGTGGGCTGCCTGCTCTCTCCCCTTGCGTTAAACTCAGTCAGCTTAAACTCATTATTCTCAGTTCACATTTAATTTGAATGTCGCTGCATCTATTTGAGACCTGAATGGGGGCTTGTATACATAAAAGCGTGCCTGCTTTTCCAACTGTTGTTGCTTTCCCCTACAAAACCTACTTGGTTTTTAGCAAACATTAATGGAATGGTAGCTTTACAGTCTAATTATTTGTGCCCGTTAATACAACTTGCATATTAAAAGCTTGTTTTGTCCAGATTTTATCCTTGTTCTAGGTTTGTAACTAATCAAGTGTTTTTGTCTTCATAGTGTTTTTAGGTGCCTGAATATGTTAACACTTCAAGACCTCAGTATGTGGTGGTTTTTAAATACCGAGTACCTAGATCATTTTATTAAGGGATGGTGACAACGTGTGTGCTGCGTGGGGTTTCCTTGGGCATGAGAACGTGCTGTGTAGAGGGAGAGATTCTTCAGAGCTGTCATCTAATTGCTGCTCTTTATTTGTAATGATACAGCAAGTTAATGAACGTGAGATCCACCAAAGCTTACTAAAATCAGACGGTCCCAGAGGGAAAAGCGCTGTTTACTCAAAGCAGTTCCTTTTCTTCAAGGTCTAATGTAATCAGTAAGCAGGGAGGGAATTTAGCTCAGGTACTTGACATAAGCTCCTGCTTTGAGTTCCGTCAGACACAGATGCTATTGAAGTGTTACGTACTGAAAGACATTTTGTGATTTTGAACCTGCCTCTGGTTTCTCTTTTAGAAGACATCAAACCGGACTGGTAGAATAAGGACTCTTCCATAACAAGGAAAAGGAACCAGCCTATAATCTCTAGCTCTCAGCAGCCCTACTCCACAGGGTTTTTCTTTTCTATGTCCTGCAGATGGATTTAATCTTTTATGAATTTGTGGTTTTAAAGAGAATTAAATTTACAGAAAACTGTAATAGTGATTTGTTTAGTTTTTCACTTGTATTTGCCACTGATCTGTGCGTTCTGCTTGGTTATGTTTCATGCCTTTTAAAGCTGTTAGCGTTGCAATGCTCCCTTTGTTTCCTTACCAGAACACGGCGGACATTCCAAAAAAAAAAAATCCAGATCATGATTTGAATTTATTTAAAGGATCTCCAAATTTTTTCATTAAATAAAAATTACAGTAATTCTGTATTTAAGCTTGTCCTATGGATAAAAATTGAGTGCATTTCTTAGTAATTTGCAAACAGCTGGGGCACTGCAACTTTAGGGACTAATCCTGACTGGTGCTCTGTAACGACGGCATTTAACGATTTCAGTGGGAATTCTGAGTGTTCAGCCTCTTCCGGGATCAGGCGCTTAAGGAACCTCTACTTCAATCACCGCGTAGAGGATTGCTGCACCAAACTGTAACTAACGTTATCAGGGGCTGAACATGAAAAAACCCCGTATCTCGGTGGACTTCCAGACCCTTCAGATCCCAGCACTTGATAACTTCCGTGAGCAGTTTGGGTTCGCAAGGACAGGAGCTGAGCAGATTGGCTTGCATTAATAGAATTGCACTGACAGTGTTTCTTATAGGATTACTGAATAATTTTTTAATAAAATATAGATTTTATAATCGGGAAGCCAATACTAGGTACTGGAACAATAGTACAGAGGAGTTAATTTTTATTTCTACAGTGTTAAAAGTGCACTTATATGCTGGTTTATTTACATCTTGGGGAAAGGCGAGAGACTGCAAATAGGGAGATTATTACTACTTTCTTTTTTAAAAAAAGAAGGCTTAAGGCAAATTTTAAGACTAAAAATGTTTAAGCAATTATAAACAAGGCTAGACCCTTTGAAAAAAGTTTAGAAATATTCTTAAAATAAATTTTTATAGTGTTAATTTTGTAATAATTTATGTTTTGCTATACTTCAGAGCTAACTGACCGGTATAGTTTCAGAAACAGTATGAAACTTAGGAAAGTTTAAGCAATGTTTATATTTTTAAAATGTTCTTTGAATTATGTTTTTATTGTACATTTCTTCAGACTGAAAAAATGTGTACATATCTTTGTTATTTTTGCACAATTTTTGTCTTGTTCAGTTTTAGGAGCAGTACTATGTTGATTTTTTTAATTTATTTTGAGTTGTAAAACTGCAGGAGTTTAAAAATCTCAGTAACAAAGTCATCCTCTGTAATCAATGAACTGCTATTTCTAGTTGGTGAGGGAAAACAGTGGTTGTGAGATTCAGTGGTTGCTTCTGAGAAATACGGCTAATCAGCAACTGAAGGAGCAA